TATATATATTTTTTTTTTTTTTTTTATAATTATTATTATCAGTAGTAGTAGTAGTAGTAGCAGCAGGGAACCTGGCCAACAAGCTGGTGGGGAAGCTGCCATTCACGCCATGAGAACGATATTTGAGCAGCACGATTGTGAGGCCATTCTCCTGGTCGACGTTTCAAATGCATTCATCATACTTAACCCCAAGGCCGCACTGCACAACATCAAGATCAAGTGTTCAAGCTTTGCAATGTATGTTGAGAACTCGCATAGGAATCCATCAGACCTCTATATAGTAAATAACAAGGCGCTAAGAGGTGATATCATCCTACAGTCAACCGAGGGAACAACACACGGGGACTCTGTTGCAATGGCAATGTACGCAATTGGCCTATCAGTGCTCCAACACGAAATAAAAGGTGAAACAACCGAGGTCAAACAAGTGGCGTACGCTGATGACCTTACAGGAGCAGGAAAAGTGGAGGACATCAAAAAGTGGTGGGACCTGGTAACATCGCGAGGTCCACAAATAGGGTACCACCCAAATGCCAGCAAGTCCTTTTTCATTGTGTAGCCAGAACATTATGAACGGGCAATGGAGGTGTTGGGTGGAAGTGATGTCAAGATAACAAAGGAGGCCAAAGACACCTAGGCTCAGTAATCGGCACGACGGACTTCAAGATCGAGTATGTAGTGGGAAAGGTGAATGAGTGGGTTAGGGAAATCCAAGCTCTGTCTGAGATTGCTAACACAGAGCCACATGCGGCTTTTGCAGCATTCACCCATAGAGTCAAGCATCGTTAGAACTTCCTGATGCGCACTGTCCCTGATATCGGACCCCTCCTCCACCCCTTGGAAGAAGCTATCAGCGTCAATTTCATTCCCAAATTAGTGAAACACACTCACCTAACCCCAGTAGAAAGATCACTCCTTGCACTACCACCGAGACTGGGAGGAATGGGACTAACCAATCCAGAGGAGATTGCTGCCGCTGAGCATCAAAACTCAGTTAAGCTCACGGCAGCCCTCACGAACCACATAATAGCTCAGAACGCAACAGGGGAGGTGGATAACAGTGAAGTAAACAAGATCCGAAGGTCTATTACGACAGAACGACAGAACGGCCAAAGTGACATGCTGCAGCAACTATTGCTGCAAATACCAGAGAAATTTAAAAAAAAAGTAGCTATAGCGCATGAGGTGGGTGCCTCGAACTGGTTAATTACGTTACCGATAAGGGCAAATGGTTTCAGTCTCAATAAATAAGAGTTTACAGATGCCATTCCTCTAAGGTACGGTTGGCCAGTAGAAGGTTTGCCTTCCCAATGCATGTGTGGCTCTCCCTATGACGTCGATCATGCCATGGTGTGCAAGAAAGGGGGCTTCATATGCATGAGGCATGACGAAGTAAGGGACCTCACAACAAATATGTTGAAGGAAATCTGCCGGGATGTCATGGTAGGAGCGACTTTCCTTCCTTTGGACGGTGAGATCTTCCAACATAGGACTTCAAACACAGCTAACGAAGCCCATGTTGACGTCAGTACTCGAGGATTCTGGACGCAGGGACAGCAAGCTTTCTTCAACATCTGGATTTTTGATCCCATGGCCGCATGTCACCGTAACCTAGCTCTCGATGCTACACACAGGAGGAACGAGAACGACAAGATAAGGGCATATGGGGAGAGATTTCAAAACGTTGATCAAGGCAGCTTCAATCCTCTAGTGTTCACAACCTCTGGCGGGATGAGACCAAGTGCAAGATGTTTCTACGCCAGACTCGCGAAGGTGATCTCCGAACAGAAGCAGCAGCCCAGAAGTTATGTTACAGCCTGGATGAGATGCCGACTGTCTTTCTCTCTCCTTCGGTCGGCTTTGCTCTGCCTCAGGGGAACGAGAGCTTCTGCCCCAATGCCGACAACAGCTGCAGATATTGACTATGAGGCTACAGTCACTGAATGCGGCATAGATCTGCGGCTCAACTAATTCAACACACATAGGATAGCTACTCTTGTATTAGGATATTTAATATTAAGGTAATAAAATGGCGGCGAAGGTTTGGCTATTGGGGGAGGATGGAGGCCACGTTAAAAAAAAAAAAGTAGTAGTAATAGTGTTATTATTATTATTATTATTATTATTATTATTATTATTATTATTATTATTATTACTATTATTATTATTATTATTATTATTATTATTATTATTATTATTATTATTATTATTATTATTATTATTATTATTATTATTATATCTTCGGCCCCCAGGCCCTGATGTGGGTCATTGACCTGTGACCGGGTGGGATAATCCCCTAAAAAAAAGAATTATAATAATAAAAAAGTAAAATAAATAAAATTCGATCTGCTTTATCAATTTTAATAGATTAAACCATAATACTCTTATATATTTCTTGGAAAAAATAGGCATTAATGAGGTAGATATTAGGATTAATTTTTGTTTTGTTTTACTAGTAACGGAAGACTGCAGTGTCTGTAAATAATGAAGTAACTAATTGGTTCAAGGTTAGACAGGGAATAAGACAAGGCTGCATTCTATCTCCAACATTGTATAATATATATTCAGAATTATTAATATGAGAAAATTTAAGTACCAAGGAAGGAATAAAATATAATAGTAAATTAATATCATATGTGCACTCTGAAGATGATACTGCTCTAATCACGGATAGTGAAGAGGCGTCATAAAAACTGATTAACAGATTAGTGGTAAAAGGTGAAGTAAATTGGGTTAAGAGAATGATATAAAGACGAAAGTAATGGTTGTTTTCTAATTGGAAATAAACCCCCCAAACATTATGGTAGGCATCAAAGAATTTAAACAAGCGGGAAATTTTTTATAGTTCGGAAGTACATTACCTGTGTGGGTGGATGTGCGAGATAAATCAAAACAAGAATCGGTCTAGTAAAACAGCATTTAACAATCTAAAACACTTAATAAAAATGGACTTTAACTTCGATATGAAAAAAAGCTCCTGAAATGTTTATGTATGGTTAGGACTGTTGTAGGAGTCAGAAGTTTGGACACTTTCAGCAAGCACAGAAACAGGGTGGAGGTTTTTGAACTGGTTTTATAAGAAAATTTTAAAAATAAGTTACACCGACAGGAAAACAAAAGAAGAAGTAGTAAGATTACCAAAAAGTTTAAGAAAAATACACCTTTTCACATATCCGTTGAGGCATTGTTACATAACTATTTGACAAATTTCATAACCGAATGACAGAACACATATCGAACGACAATCTAAAATAATTGTTGGTGGCATGTCATTGTCCAATTGTTACATTCTCAAACTATATGTAGACTGTCCGTTTATTGTTCACGTCTGTCAACTTCATAACTTATGTCAATCACTTCCGTTAGCATGAACGAACAGTTATTTTAGATTGTCATTCGATATGTGTTCTGTCATTCGGTTATGAAATTTGTCAAATAGTTATGTAACAATGTCTCAACGGATATGTGAAAAGGTGTACTTGAAATGTACAATAAAGAGAAACTAAGAGTGTCCTCGTGGGTTGGTCTGTAGCGTTCCCTAGTCCCACCCAGTAAGTCGAGGGTTCAATTCCTGGCTGGTGAGGTCGTTGATTATATGTTCAAAGTCCGCGTGTTATATGGACTTTGAACATATAATCAACGACCTCACCAGCCAGGAATCGAACCCTCGACTTACTGGGTGGGACTAGGGAACGCTACAGACCAACCCACAAGGACACATAGAGAATAGAGAGAAAGAGAGAGAGAGAGATGGTGGCCGATCAAACTTTAAAAAGCAACTTTCGTTTATACCATATAAATATATTACCTTTTTGTTTCATTCCTACAACTTTATGGGAATGAAATTTGTTAGTTTACTGTCAAATTTGCTTTTTTTCATTTAATGACGCCATTTGCCATCATGCAATATCGAAATTAGAATAGGTTAGGTTAGTTTCAATTAGGGAAGAAAGCCAGTGACCTGTGTTGAAACTATCCTTTGTTTTTTATAATCATGTCAAGGGACTTCCATGTACAAACAATACCTCACTACTCTGGAATCGAACCCTGGACCTCTGCTTGTAAACAGGGATTGCTATCACCGCGCCACAACGACACCAAAAACAATTTTAGACTTTGTTTTATTTGACACAAAGCCTGTTCATTCGTCTTATTTTTAAACAACATGAACCTCCAGGGTTAGATTCCCGACTAGTGAGGTATTTTTGTACATGGAAGTCCGCGTGCTATAATTATGTAGCCTCGCGTTTCGGAGCAGGACTCTGTAAAATGCTACTCCGACCACATAGTTTGCACGGGCAATCCCCGATGGGGATTCACGTTGCTTAAAAAAAACGACTGAACAGGCTTTGTTTGGAATAAAACAAAGCCTGGGTTTTGGTCAGTTGTCATTGTGGTTCTGTGGTGGCGATCCTTGTTCACAGGCAGAGGTCCAGGGTTTGTTCCCGACCAGTAAGGTATTATATATATATATATATATATATATATATATATATATATATATATATATATATATATATATATATATATATATATATATATATATATATATATATATATATATATATATATATATATATTAGTGACGGTTAAATAATATTTGGTTTTCACTACAGCCAGTGATCGTTGACGGTTTTGTACAATTACCGTTTAAAGAACTTCAACAATAGTTTAAGTGGACAAATATTTACAAATATTTAGAACTTAATAATGTAGATAAATATTTGTAGGCAACACTTCTTACGGCACCACTCGAGTTGTGTATCATGAAACAGGTAATTTCCGATGAGTTACCTGACGCCCCTTGAAACATTATAATTTACTATCCGAACTGAGTGTTATATTTTTCATAGTGATTGTTACTTGTGTCAAACTGAATGGTCACTTCCAAATAGAAATGTTGAAAATCATATTCGACAAGCAGGAGACGATTTGGTAATAAAGTAGCTGGCATCTGAGAGCAGGTGGCTGGCGGGCGTGGGTCAGGTGGACGGAGGAAGCTCAAGTGTTTGTGCTTCAGTTAGTCCTCTGCCAGTGTGGTGGTGTTTTAGGACGGCGTGGTAAGAAGGTAGGCGTCTCTTACAGTTTTGAACGGCAGTTTACATTACGTGTGCTTTTCTTCAGCTTGCAGTAAAGTGTTTGGATTTTGTTCTAATATTGGAGGGTAAGTATACATAACCACACACACACACACACATACACACACACACATATATATACATATATATATATATATATATATATATATATATATATATATATATATATATATATATATATATATATATATATATATATATATATATATATATATATATATATATATATATATATATATATATATATATATATATATATATATATATATATATATATATATATATATATATATATATATATATATATATATATATATATATATATATTTCATGTAGATCCACAATGAAAACGTGGTATATACTGTATGTGTGTGAGTGTTTATAGAATTCGTAAGTGTTATTATATGTATGCAATTGACAATTGTCGTATTAAATGCAATATTACTCGGAAATAATCGAACCAACAGTTAAAACAAAGGTGACCTCTTTGTGTGAGCCATCACTGCATCGTTCAGGTGTATAAAAGGTGAATGTTTAAGATGTGATAGTGCTATTAATGACGGTATGACTATAAATATGACCAAGTGAACGCCATAATATGTAAGATATAGACAAAAGGCGCTAAACCTTTTTTTTTGTAATTTTGCCCGAGTGAACCTGATTATTTATAGAATTTTCCTTGTACTTTTATGCCCATGATATTTATATTAATTCAAATACCGTTTATAAATGTATAAATTTGCAAGGGATGACATACTACGTGCAATTTGCCCGCTTGCAAAAGGTGGTATAACATGAAGCTTCCACCGTTTGGGTTATGTTATATTAACTGGGTTAGATTAGAAACGCCTTCCAACGTTTGGTCTTTTTATAGAGTTATTTTCAAGTGTCATATTGAAGTTATTTTTTCTATCGTACATTACCAGACACTTTTTTTTAAATTTCCTTTTCGTTTGTGGTTTAGACGAAACCAGATTCATTGAAAAATCACTACAGTTGGTTTGCTCGGTGATTCTGCAATTGCTTCAACATTTTAACATTAACGTTTGACATATTTCGTTTCTGTGCGAACATAACAGAGCCCATTTCGACGTAACTAACTTAACATATCCAATTAATAAGCAAAACCGCCATACCTATCAAAGTCCTACATATCAATCTTGTAATATCTTCGTTGTGACGCAGTGAAACTCATCCTTCCATCGTCAACAGCTGCTGTAATACAAGACGGGAAGTGAGAGTAATTTGTTGTCACTTGATAAGTTACTTCAATTACAGGATCACTATGCTGACATTTACTTCACTAGAGGTGGACTATGTTACAGTTACTAATCTCAAACGATCACCATATTGTAAGAGCACCAAATTAAAGATACTACACCCACAGGCTCACTATACTGTCAATTAAATCACCATAGTAGCATCATACTTGCAGTCACTACATTCTCTGGATCACCAGTTTGGCAGTAGCTATACATCTTCATGCTATAATATTAACAGAGTTGTTAAATGGCATTCATTATTCTACTGACAAGTTAGCTGTGTATGTCGAAGAAAGTTATATCATGAGCACTGACAAAGTTAGTGTAGCATTGAATATAATTTAACTTATAACACACACACACACATGACCCTGCAAGTGACCTCGTACACACATGACTTGCAGGTGAACTCTCTCACACACACACATGACCTTGTGTGGGTTTAGGTTATTAATTGACATAACAGTTATTTTCTTTATAATTTGAATGTTTTTTATACATATTGTTATTCTTGTAAAAAAAATTACATCTATTGTTGACCGTAATACTGAGGTAAGAACGTTATGAAAAAAACAAAACAAGTAAGAGTTCCTTGTACTATACATCCCCTTCATTTTGTGAACAATTGGAACCAGCAATATATCTGATTGTCTGACCTTTCCATTTTGTTAGTTATGTGTTTCGACTTGACGTTAAGTATTAATTCATGGTAAAATGACACTTAGTATGGCTTTTGGAGTAACTCAGTATTTCAAATATTCATCTGAAACATAAATTAACGACTGATGATTGAAGATGACCATGAAATACATCTTAATATAAAACACTTCGGCTCCTTTTTCCTGAAGTTGTTCTGGATTATTCGACTTTCAAACTGGAGAGACTACAGGTTTGTTCTCCTTTTGTATCTGTGTCATGTCAATTTTGTGTTATTACTTATTACATAAAACTCTCTTTGGACTTTTTCTCTATTAAATTTGTCATGAATTTGGAAAGAATTTCAAGAATAACTCTAATTAATTCTGAATTGTGCCGACTGGCGGACACAATTTTTTGCTATTTCTACCGTAATACAACTTACACTTTAATTAAGACCCTAGTGATTACAACAGCAAAAACGTATAAATTAATATCTTTGAGAGCTATTTATCAGATTATATATAGTTAATCTATATTATCCGTTTTACCTCCTCTAATGTTATGTTTTTGAGAAATTGGACAATAAAAGAAGATATAACCCGCCTTTACAGGAACCGTTGGTCAGTAGGATCACTTCGCGCTGCCCGGAGGTCATTAAACTGTGCTCATTATTAATACATTTCTCGATTAGCAATTTAAAGTTTATGGAGTAGTATCGCATTTTAGATATTTATTCTGGATAAAGTCAGATGATTTATTCAGCTAAGAAAAACCCTACCACTGAAGGGGTTAGACCTATTTCGATTAACATAAGAACATAAGAAAGTGGGATACTGCAGGAGGCCGACTGGCCCATACAGGGCAGATCCCTTTCACACCCATCCCAGCACTTCCATGTGCCTATCCAACTTCGTCTTGAAGCTCCCTAGCGTCCCCGATCCTACTATAGCACTCGGTAACCTATTCCACATATCCACAACTCTATTACCAAACCAGTGCTTGCCTATATCCTTTCTGAATCGGAATTTATCTAATTTAAAGCCATTTGTTCTAGTTATTTCGTTATTACTGAGCTTCAGAACATCTTCCATTTTACCCTTGTTAATCCCACTTACCCACTTGAACACCTCTATCATATCTCCCCTAACTCTACGCCTCTCTAATGAATGCAAGCCTAAGCTTTTCAGTCTTTCTTCATATGGAAGGTTTCTAATATTATGGATCATTTTTGTCATTCTTCTCTGTACTCTCTCCAAAGAATCTATGTCCATTCTATAATAAGGACACCAGAATTGAACCGCATAATCCATGTGTGGCCTCACTAATGCTAGGTAAAGTTTCAAGACAAGGTCAGCAGTTCTAAGAACATAAGAATGGAGGAAACTGCAGCGGGCTTATTGGCCCATACTGGGCAGTCCCGTTTACACCCAACCCCTATTGCTCATATGAGCATCCAACCTATGTTTGAAGCAATTCAGCGTATTCGAGTTAATGATGATATTTGGTAACTTGTTCCATTCATCCACTACTCTGTTTCCAAACCAGTGTTTACCTATTTCACACCTAAATCTAAATTTGTCTAATTTAAAACCATTGTTACGAGTTCGCTCCTGGTTGGATAATTTGAGTACCTTTGTAATGTCCCCTTTGTTTAGCCCTGCCTTCCACTTATACACCTCGCTCTACGTCTCTCAAGGGAGTGCAAATTAAGATGCTTTAACCTGTCTCTATACTCAAGGTTCCTAATGCCCGGGATTAGTCTTGTCATTCTCCTCTGAATTCTTCCCAAGGATTCTATATCCATTCTGTAATACGGTGACCAGAACTGAACTGCGTAATCCAGGTGTGGTCTCACAGGAGCAGGATACAGTTTTAGGATGACCTCGCTAGTCTTGTAACTAACACTCCTTTGTATGAACCCAAGTACTTTATTAGCCTTGTTACGAGCAAAAACACATTGTTTACTTGGCTTAAGGTTCCTACTTATCATTACTCCTAAATCTCTCTCGCAGTCGGATTTCTCTATGGCATCGTTGTTCATCTGGTATCTGGTTTCCCTGTTTACATCTCCTATACTGAGTACTTTACATTTGTCGACGTTGAATTTCATCTGCCATTTTTCAGACCATTCGAAAAATTTGTTTAGATCTTCCTGTAGTTTTGCCGGGTCCTCGTCAGATTTGATAACATGTCCTATTTTAGTGTCATCAGCAAATTTACTTATGTTGCTGTCAATGCCGATATCTATGTCGTTTATGTATATAATGAATAATAATGGTCCAAGTACTGAGCCTTGGGGAACTCCACTTGTGACGTTGTTCCAATGGGACTTAGTGCCGTTAATGCTCACTCGCTGTTTCCTGTCCTGTAACCACGCCCTAATCCATTTAAGGATGTTACCTTTGATGCCATGAGCTTCTACCTTTCTAATTAGTCTTTCGTGGGGGACTCTGTCGAAGGCTTTGCTAAAGTCGAGATATACCACATCATAATTGTGACTCCTCGTCCACCGATTCGAAAACTGATGAAAAGAATGTTAATAGATTAGTTAGACAAGAACGTCCGCTTGTGAAGCCATGCTGGGAATCATTGATCAATCCGTGCTTCTCCAGGTGATTTCGAATAGAGTTTGAAATGATTGCTTCCAGTAATTTGCCTACTATTGATGTTAGACTGATTGGGCGATAGTTAGAGGATAGTGATCTATCCCCCTTCTTGAAAATCGGTATTACATTCGTTATCCTCCAGCATTCTGGTACTACACCTGTTTTTAAGGACATGTTAAACAACTTAGCTAAGGGCATACTAAGCTCTTCCTTACATTCCTTTAATACTCTGGCAAATATCTCATCGGGGCCAGGTGACTTATTAGGCTTTAGTTTATCTATTTGCTTACTAACATCGTTACTAGTCACTACTATCTCGCTTAATTTATTTTCTTCACTATCTCTGAATAGAGTCGGTGCGTCGGGTATCATGTTTAAATTTTCGGTGGTGAAAACTGTTGAAAAATATTTATTAAAATTATTGCTCATTTCTCCGTCGTTATCATTGAGCTCGCCGGTATC